GAATTCTGCGTGCAGCCCACAGGAACTCAAACGCTGACTGAGTTTGATGTCAAATGGAGACACTGGCACGAGGAGTGTGACCGCTGTCTCCAAGACAACACCTTCGCTAGCAACCGTCACCTGGAGACCATCTGCAAGGTGCGGAGTCCTGACCTCTGCTGAGCTGTGACTGAAGCTGCTGAGAGCACGTGATCCTGACTCTGTCTGTCTCCGTCAGATCCTGGTCGGTGATGAAGACATGATACTGGAGCAGAAAGAGCTGCTGAGCACCTGGTATCACTTCCTGGTCACGCGGCTGCTCTTCACTCACCCGACCATCAAACCGCCCGATCTGCACTACTACGCACAAGTACATTCAGCCAGTCCTAATCTACTGTCATTGAGATACTGTTGTAGTTTTTATTTATTGATTTTTGAAAAAAAAAATTGTCTATCTAGTTTTTATTAATTTGTATTTCAATTTCAGTTTTAGTTATTTTAGAACATCTAGTTAAACTTGGCAATTAGCTGAATTTAAAATTAGTTAAAAATAAATATTAGTTACTATTTTATTTTAATTTCGATAAATATATTTATTTTTATATTGTGATTTAAAAAAATATATATATATATATATATTTTTTTTTTTTTCATTTGGTTGTGTTTTTAGGCATTTTTAAAGGTGTCTGGTTTTTATTAATTTTTAATCCAGTTTTAATTACTTTAGTACATCGAGTTAAACTCAATGAAAATTAGAAGTCTTGCCCTGGCAATTAGCTGAAATAAAATAATAATAAAAACATTGAAAAGTTTTGAATATTTTATTTCAGTTCAATTTTAATATTTTGAATTTGTTTTCATTTTTATTTATTAAAGTTTGTTGTTTTTTTTGTCATTTTTTTATTATATATTTTTTATTTCAATGTCTGCTAAATGACTAAATAAATAAAAATTTCAATTTTAGTTTGTTATTTTAGTACATCAAGTTAAATTAAATGAAAATTAGAAACGGAGCCTTGACAACCAGCTGTAATAAAATAAGTTGAAAAGAAAATGTTTTTTAATATTTAATTTAATTTTATATTTATTTTTTCAATATTTTGAATTAGTTTTATATATATATATATAAATAGTTAAGTTAAATGAAAATTAGACATGTGGCTTTGAAAGCTGGCCGGAAAAAAAAAAAAAAAAGGTAAGTAACATTGTTTTATAGGTTTAGTGTGAGCTAACTATAATAACCCTGCATGCAGCACAAGTAAAGCTGCCTGATATCATACAAACAGCTGAGAATTAGTCATGCAATGATATCCGATAGATTTCACTGTGAACTCTATGAACTCCATATATCATACTGACCTTGTGTTGGTGTTGCAGTCGAGCATGAGCATGTTTCTGGGCCTGCGGGCGTCTCCGGAGCCTCTGGACATCATCCTGCTGTCGGCCTTTGAGTTTGACCTGCATCAGGTGATCAAAGACTGCAGGTGTGTTAACACTCTCTCAGTGCAGACGCACGTTCATCAGAAGAGTCTGTGAATCCTCCAAACTAACACCGATGTTTGATGTCTCTGCAGCATCGCGCTCAATAACTGGTGGTTCGTGGCTCATCTGACGGACCTGCTGGATCACTGCAAACTCCTGCAGTCGCACAACCTCCAGTGCGTATCTCACATCAGATCAAGCGCTCAGATCTGACATACTAATGATTGCACACTTATAATCTCATGTCAAGATTTCTTGCCCATAAAAAGTCATATTTTAGTGTTTTTAAGGCCATTTTCCATTCATATATGTAAATGAAAGCCTGCAGATTCATGTGGCTCTTTGAGAAGGTTTTGGTTGATGTGATGCACACATTGCTGTTCTGGTTTTGTGTGTTTGTAGTTTTGGGTCTAATCTGCGTGAGTTTCTGGTTTTGGAGTACGCCTCGGGTCTCTTCACACATCACAGGTGATTAAAAGCCATTATTTATCTCTGCCGACTGAGGACTAAAGAGTTCAATCTCATTAAAACTAGTCTAGACCACACTTTACCCTAAAATAAATTTTTTTGCTCAATAACTGGTGGTTCGTGGCTCATCTGACGGACCTGCTGGATCACTGCAAACTCCTGCAGTCGCACAACCTCCAGTGCGTATCTCACATCAGATCAAGCGCTCAGATCTGACATACTAATGATTGCACACTTATAATCTCATGTCAAGATTTCTTGCCCATAAAAAGTCATATTTTAGTGTTTTTAAGGCCATTTTCCATTCATATATGTAAATGAAAGCCTGCAGATTCATGTGGCTCTTTGAGAAGGTTTTGGTTGATGTGATGCACACATTGCTGTTCTGGTTTTGTGTGTTTGTAGTTTTGGGTCTAATCTGCGTGAGTTTCTGGTTTTGGAGTACGCCTCAGGTCTCTTCACACATCACAGGTGATTAAAAGCCATTATTTATCTCTGCCGACTGAGGACTAAAGAGTTCAATCTCATTAAAACTAGTCTAGACCACACTTTACCCTAAAATAAATTTTTTAAAAAATATTTTACACAAAATTATTTGTATGAAGTTATATAGTAATTTTCATGACCGCAAATTTCCCCATCTTTGTAAAGCATTACTTTATTTTCTTTATGCAAAATATAAATATTTATAAACGCAGTATTATAAAAATGATATTTAAAATATTATATACGATTAATCGCATCCAAAATAAAAGTTTTGGTTTACATAATATATGTGTGTGTTCTGTGTATATTTATTATGTATATATAAATACATACTCATACAGTATATATTTTGAAAATATTTACATGTTTATATTTATATAATTTATATTATATATAAATATATTTAATATACAAATAACACATTTTTCTTAAATATATGCATGTGTGTATAATAATAAATATACACAGTGCACACACATTATGTAAACAAAAACTTTTATTTTGGATGCGATTAATCGTTTGACAGCACTATTAATAATATATTCAGTAACATTTTTATATTATGCAATTATATTTTTTCTTATTTTTTAGATACATTTCATAATTTTAGATACATTTAATATATAATAAACATATATGAATTAATTTATATTAATATACATTTGTTAATTTATATTTCATTTATTAAATAAATATATTACATTTTGTTAATTTGTAATTTATCAATATATAATTTATTATATTTGTAATTTATTAATATATAATTTAGAAATACAATTATTTCAATTTACATTTACTGTAATTATTTTTTTAATATGACTCTTGCATATTCTTGACTCTGAGCGAATCTTGATTCACCCAATAATCTGGTTCAGTTATGAACTACTCAGAATAATGTATTTATCATACGTGTGTGTTAGTCTGTGGCAGCTGGCGGTGGATTATTTCGATCACTGTCCTGAGTTCGGTCGCGTGTATCTGGAGCTGCAGATCGAGAGAGTCCCACTCGACACTGAACGCAAAGCTATTAAAGTCCTGCGAATCTGTGAAGACAGACAGATGAGTGAACAGGGTGAGTGACCTCAACTATCTCCGAGTTTCAGATTTAATAAACCGTGATTGATCACTTTACAAGCTCGTCCTCTTCTTGCCTAAATGAGCAGCTCTTTTCCACAGTAATCTTCAGTGAGGACAGGATCTTATTCTGTGAAACAAAGTCATTGATACATGATGATATGTGTGTTTCAGTGCGCAGTATATGTAAGATTATGGCTAAAAGAGCTCTGAGGAACAACAGACTGGGATCTGCTCTGTCCTGGAGCATCAGAGCCAAAGACGCTGCGTTCGCTACACTCATCTCGGAGAGGTTACACACGATCTTTCTGTCTGTCTACACCAGTATCCATAAGCTGTTATATTGCTTTTTTTATCCAACCCATGCTTTTTCCCCTGCAGGTTTCTTCAGGATTACTGTAACAAAGGCTCTTTCACAGATCTGGATCTGTTGGATAATCTGGGTCCTGCCATGCTGCTCAGTGACAGACTGACGTTTTTAGGTACAATATGAGAGACGATGCCATTTATGTGATTTATCGGAGCAGAAGAGCCGCTATAATTCAGTGCGTGTCATATTTCAGTCCGCCGTTCATTCTCAGATCTGCTTTACACTGCTTTCGTTCAGCTTTCCTGTGATCGATTCTTCAGCCACATTCATTTAAAAGAAAAAACATGTTTGTCTTTCATGTAATAACTTGCTCGAGTATTGATACTGAACAAAAGCTAAAGCTAGTCATTGTTTTTAGCAAATGCACATTCAGCTTTACACCATCCAGTCAATTCCCAATTGATAAAAGCATGTTTTTCTTTTCTAACATACTGTTTCGCTTTAAAAGATGTCATGCTACAGATTTAAACGTGGTTTCTAATGCCAGATCATGTTTCCTTTAAGAAGGTCTTTTATCCATGAGATGCATGACTCTGTGTGTGTTTGTAGGAAAGTACCGTGAGTTCCACAGGCTCTACGGTGAGAATCGTTTCTCAGAGGCAGCCAAACTCCTGCTGTCCCTCATGACGGCAAAGATCGCCCCGCGCAGTCTGTGGATGACGCTGCTGACCGACGCGCTGCCGCTGCTGGAGCAGAAAGAGGTCAAGACACAGACAACTCATGCTTTACAGTCACATTTTACTTTAGTCAAGAAATTTGTAGAAACAATGAATATTTGTCTACAGACCTTCAACCATTTAAGCTGTACTGTAGCAGCTTAAACCATAAAGGTTGACCATTAGTGGTGTTTAGCATTCATCTGTGGAGTTTTGTTTGTTTGCATGTAAAGGTGATCTTCTCAGTGGATCAGACGTATGAGCTCATGTCCTGTCTGGAGGAGCTGAACTCGGGAACCAAAGACTCAAGCCAAACAGACCAGGTACGAATCATCTAGAACCGTGTTTCTCAACCCTGGTCCTGGGCGCCCCCCAACACTGGACATTTTGTGTGTCTCCCTTATCTGACACACCTATTTCAGGTCCTGGAGTTTCTTTTAATGAGCTAACGAGTTGAATCGGGTGTGTTTGATTAGGGAGACACGCAAAATGTGCAGTGCTGGGGGGGCGCCCAGGACTAGGGTTGAGAAACACTGATCTAGAACATCCCAGAGATGCTCATTATAATGTTTAGTTGTGAATTAGGAAGTTTTTTTCTTCTGTGTTTCAGGATGACGATATCGAGTCCACGAAGACGGAGCTCCTGCGACTGGCTCTGGCCCGTAACCTCGCCATGGCCATCGTCAAAGAGGGAACAATAGAAACATAAATTCATCTGATCATCCAATCAATCACTTACAGCTGTTTTTCACTCTATTTGTGTCCTGTACATAATTCATAAACATGACTTCTTTTATAAAACTTTTTCCAGTATTTGCAAAAAAAACGAATTTGTCTTCCTTATTTCTTTTGCCCTTATATAAAAGGTCTGATGAGGGAAAACTTGATTGTTCGTGCTCTTTTGAATTAGAATTTGAGGTACAGCAACTTAAATGGCCTATTAACTAAATTATACAGAGATGGAAAAAATACCATAAACCAACTACTGTAATTGTTTTTAGTGCAAGAAACCTCAGCATGCGGTTGATTTAAGTAGCATTTGACGCTAATAGTTATCGTTCTCAGCGTGAACAAGCCTTTATTGTACAGTTGTAACATACAGCTACTATCACTTCACAAAAAGCGGATGAGCAAAACATCAGGGATTCAGAAGAGGGAAATCTCATAAATCCGGTTTTCACAGCGGGAAAAGAAGGTTAGACACCCTCAAACATCTTCATTTATTATTTTGAATCATTTATAATGTCATCTCACAGCAGCTGCAGTTCAGAGTCATTTAGTTAGGCTGTCTAATTTACAAATGTAGATCAACTTGAATTGGTGTTTGCATCCCATTTTGGCTATTTATATTTGGAGTAAATGTAAGTCATGACTTGATTTGAACTATCAGGAAATGACTGCATTGTGAAATTTGCAGAGGGATTACTAATTTCCACCCCAAGAGGAAACCTGTAAAGAAGAAAATTATGCTGGGAAATCCATTTGATAAAGTCTTTAATGGCGCAGTACACATGATGGATTCGTTATATCTTCATCATCGTCATCCATAATAACTTTTACGAAGGTCTACATTTGTCCCACATTTTCATGAGTCCTTCTAAACCAGGGCTGCCCAAACTCGGTCCTGGAGGGCCGATGTCCTGCAGAGTTTAGCTCCAACTTGCCTCAACACGCCTGCCTGGAAGTTTCTAGTATGCCTAGTAAGAGCTTGATTAGCTGCTTCAGGTGTGTTTAATTGGGGTTGGAGCTAAACTCTGCAGGACACCGGCCCTCCAGGACCGAGTTTGGACACCCCTGTTCTAAACCATCATCGTCATCAACGTCAGACCAGATGATAGCTTTGACTCTTAGACGAGGTTCCTCAGAAATACTCAAAACACTTTGATGCAGATGCACAATGAAGCTCTGAAACACGTCAGACAGTGCTCCACGATGTCCAGAAATACAGTCCAATGTGTTCAAGCACACAAGATGAATCTCACCAAAATCAAAATCCACCATGAATTCACCCCAAAATCAAAAAGATGACATATTTTGCGATACTAAAACTGTTTTAGGACCAAAAAAATGCTTTCAAGTTTTACCCTAAAATCAAAACAAATGAATAATTGATATTTTCATTCGGGGGGGATCTTTATGCAAAATATGATTTGTTTTGTTTCTGTGGGAGAAATACAAGTCATTTTTGTGTGTTATCAGAGGCTAAACACATGATCGTAATGGATTGTACGGTTTGCACACATCAGAGGAACAGTTGTCCTCTTCTTCTAGTCGGACACATTAAGGTTTGTTTGGGACTAAAATCACATGAGGCCTTTATCTGATGAAATAAAATGCTCACTTGCCCTGCAACAGTGCTTAAAAGCATCAAATCATGTGAAACGCTCAGAGGATTGCCCGCTGATGCCTCCACATTACCAAAACACATCTCCAGTCTGACTTATGATAAACTGTGCTAATAATTTCAGTTCATCCTCCATCAAGATCTTCATCGCATAACCTGCAGGCAAACAAACACTATGTAAATATGCCACAATTAAATAAACAAATATAAAATTGTCAATAAAGGCTGTCGACTATCTGAGACAGACTGTAATGCTGTAACTTGAGTCCAAACGTTCCTGTAGCAGCAATAAATAAAAACAGAAACAGTGTTGAACTATAACACAGGCAGATAAAAACTCAAAATTGACAACATAATGCTACTCTGACGTTACGCGTGTAAACTCAAAGCGTCCTCCATGTAAACTCGTTTTGACTGCAGATACATTCGTTCTGATGCTTCGTGACTTCGAGAGCTGAGGTTTGCGGGAAATGAATCTTCTAGTTCTAGAAACAGCAAAGTTCCAATGCTTGTTTGTTCTGAAGAGCGCAGGAACATCTAGCACTGTCTGAACAGAGTGAAATCACGGTTAAATACACTCCACGGACAGCGGCGAGGTCATGTGACACCATCAGTATCAGCTCGGCTTCTGAGCTTACCACCATTTACCATATTTTACTTCAAAATACCACAGTTATAGTGCTTGAAAAAGATCCATTTTGTTTGATTTCTCAACAAGTAGTCAATGAAAAGAGCCGCTCAACTAAATATATTTTTGCAAACCTGTTACCAAAACTTCAGATATGTTCAATAGTTTACAACCCTGATTTGTAGACTTTTTTTTTTAAATAAACATGAGATAGACATACAAATTACATAAAATTCTCTATGTATGTATGTATAACAAATAGGGTTGCTAAAGTTGACAAACTTAAACCATAAACATTTTTTGTTTATATTTTGTTACTTGAAATAAAATTAAAAATATTTTATTTACAGTGGGGAAAAAAAGTATTTAGTCAGCCACCAATTGTGCAAGTTCTCCCACTTAAAAAGATGAGAATTCTTTAAAAATCCTACAATGTGATTTTCTGGATTTTTTTTCTCATTTTGTCTCTCATAGTTGAGGTATACCTATGATGAAAATTACAGGCCTCTCTCATCTTTTTAAGTGGGAGAACTTGCACAATTGGTGGCTGACTAAATACTTTTTTGCCCCACTGTAGCTACGTTTCACATTTCTCATTTTCGTTTAACTTAATGTACTAAAGTAACTAAAGAAAGGGAAATATAAATAATAAAAACTATAAACATATTTGAAAAAAAAAACATTAAGTAATACAAATGACAAAACACAAACGAGTTACTAAAACTTTAAAATTACAATAAAAACAAAATACAAAAATAAAAAATATTACATTATCTCTATGACTCTAAAATATCACTGGTAAAAGGTTGTAAATTTAGTCTAAATTAATTCATAAATAATTCAAGTTTGTAGTAGATAACTAGCTTATTTCACAAATTAAAGGAATTTTTTTTAATGTAATTTTCTAACCAAAACTTCGTACTGTTTGTTGAAACGGCCAGTTAATTATTGTTTAACTATGGTATTTTGACAGAAACTATGATTACCATGGTAAACTGCTTTAAGAGCAGCACGCAAAAGATCAATCTCTGAAACGTGCGCGTCCGCTTCGGACCATCATGTGTGTCACTGATGCTGTGTTATTGTATTAATATCCAGCAGACATCAAGCATCAAATGCTGCTTCACAAGCCTACCGGAAAACTAATGAACAGCACAAATGAATGATGATACTTGGGAATGAACATTTAAGAGTTCAAGCAGGTAAACGGCGAGATCTAGAGGGACCCCCATCTGTCCGCTGGAGGAAACTGATCCAGCTCTCCCACCTCCGAATACTGATGCTCTCCCAGAAGATACGTCAGCTTATAGCGCAAACGCACACGCTCCTGAAACACACACACACACACACACACACACACACACACACCAGTAAACCTTTATGAAAAGATTCCCTAGAGGAGAATCAAAGTGCTGTCACATTTTGATTGGTTGGATTGTTTTATTATTTATCCCCCTCCTTTTTTAATAAAAATAATGAATTGATACGTTTTTTTAATAATAAAAATAAATAGTTTTTAAAAGATTTTCAAAAAAAAATTGTTATTATATTTTTAAAAATAGATATTATTTGACTTTATGTTATTTTTTTTGTAACTAAAAAAGCATGGAATGTGCTTGACCCCTCACCTTGAGTGGGTTGGCGAGCAGCATGACCTGAGTGATGGATGCGGGGGGCAGGATGGGGTTAAAGGGCGCGATCTCTGTACCTGATGGAGGCTGAAGCTTCACTCGCATAGACTGACACAAACACAACACAATACAGGGTAAACGGTCAAGTTAAAGTAGAGGTCAGAGGTCATGTTTAACTTTCAGAACTTCAGAGAGTCATCAAACGTGTTTCAAGAAATCTCTTGAAATTTTATAGTGAAAGGAATGTTGTGAATTGGGTCAACTGAATCATTAAAAGGAACCGATTCAAATGAACGATTCATGTAAAATCGCTGTGTAAATCTGTGTTGGCAGCGGAGGAGGTCGTACCTTGGGCACGGCTGCTTGCAGCACTATGCTTCGCACGGGTAACGGCGCCGTGTTGAGCAACGACACCACCATGACCAGGACGTCCGGTCGACCCGGCGGACAGTCCATCGCAAAGTGCATGAGAACACGGACTCCGTCCTTATCGTACACCGTCACAGGTAAGACTTTACCTGAGGACACCAGCAGAAACACTCAGCTACAGCTCAGCAAGTAATACAGATAACTAGGTAAGTTGCAGGATGACTTGGATATCTGGATATCTAAAATAACCGTAACATTTCATCCACAAAACCAAAAGAAAAAAAGATACTTATAAGTTTACTATATTAATAATAAAATAATACTATAATAATAAAACATTTATAATAATAATAATAATATATTTTTAATAAAAAACATCAAGCTTATAATATAGATTACAATATAGTAAAATTCTGATTTAAATTTTGTATGAATTGTGAAGCACAAAACCTTTATGGGACATTTTACACCAAATAAATTATACATTTAAAAAAAAAAATATATATATATATATATATAATTATTAGAATTTTTTTCTTAAAAAGCCCATAATATAGAACTTATAATAATTAAGAGTTTAATTAGTTGTTCTCATTTTGACATTATTTTCAAGCACATCTTTATTATTTATTATATATTTTTTTATTTATTTACCTCCTGTTTTTTTTTTTTTATATAGTTTAATGCTTCACTTCCTGTTAGTGTAATTAATTAATCATTTGAAAATTAAAAACGGAATCATTTCACATCAGTTGAATTGGGCCACTCGTCAGATTCAAGCTGCGGTCACTCACTGGGTCTGATGGACTCGAGCGGGACGTTCAGGTTGGACAGGCTGGGCTCTGAGCTCCGCGCCGGGCTGCTCTGAAGCGAGTGAGACGGAGATGAGAAGGGCTGAAAGAAAGGGCTGCCTGGAGCCGAGGCACCCGTCACCGCCTGAGCCCGGGCCACAGCGGGCGAGCCGGGC